AGTCTCCAACAGCACGATGCTCTGCGGCTGATGTCACTTTTTCATCTCAAATAATAAAAACGAAATGAAATCAGTCACCGAAATAAATCAAACACGGAGCAATAATCACGCCCCACCAGCTCATCACTTCACACCAGCACCCCTCCTTAGCTGGAGGGGAAACCCCGGAACAGCACGATGGGACCAATCACTGGGTCACGCGTCCTCCCAGATGTGGGTGTGTGCACGGAGACGTTAACAACAGGCTCACGGCGAAGAATGGAGGTGCTATTTTAAAAAGAAAGCCATGCTAGTTTCCTTGTCAGGGCCCTCGGCAAGCCGTGTGTTTGTGCACGACCCCCCCGTGTTTGTCACGAGGGGGAGGGAGGGCTGGATGCACGCCAAACGTCAGGCTTTTATTACACAGAGACCCAGCTTAGACACAAGCGCACCTCCACAGGTAAATAACGGCCCGGGAAAGGAGGGAGGAGGAGCGGGGGGTTTGGGAGAGCTGGACACGTGCACGGATACAGACGAGCGGCTGCTGACCCAACTCCAATATTTACTCAGGCATGAGTCTCTAGTGTGAGCGCGCATACTCGGGGGGATTTCTGTTTTAAGTGGGTCAAAGTGAGGTTCATACTACTGTTTACACTCATGTTCTTACATCATTACTGTCAACTGTAATATGGACCGAGAGGGGGGAGGGAGGGAGGGAGGGAGGGACGGGGAAGGAGAAAAGATGAAGGCTGGAAAAAAGTGAGAGCGGAACAACATCAGAGGCAAATGAAGGAGTGCTGCGAGTGCATCCTTTCATTTGAGTTTTTTCCAGTCCATTGTCTCAAAATCCCATTTCCCAGCTAATTTAGAAGCTTCTAAAATACACTCAACTCCATACCTTAAGCCTAAGGCCACAGCTAATCCTGTCTTCACACACGCACACGCACACACGCTCATTCATCCTCCGTGCTTTTCAAAAGACTTCATCTTGGCATAGTAGACACGAACGAAGGATATTGAAGGCAAGCGTTTGAAGTACATGAGGGAACGCAGGAATCAAACTGTGAGTTAAATGCTATTAGACAGCTGTGTGGAGAGGCAGTGTAATATTAGATTTGATTGAATAGATGACTGCTGAATGTGGTGTAATATATAGAGCCGCAGAGGCTTTATGCAGACGTAAATCAATATTGCAGCACCACCTTAATCCCAGCCACTCAGGAGCGCGAGTCAGCCGGCGAGCGGGGAAACGCGTGGCTGTTTGCGCGCCGTCGACTTGTTTTCCAGACTTTCGAGCGCTTTTAAAAGTAACTCGCAAAAACTCCAGCCTGGGATTTATTCTGTTTCTATATCGAAACACGGAGGCCGCGCTCAAACGGTAATCACGACACGCATCTTACGCTTTCTTTTCTTTTCGGCTCACAGCTCATTTAAGAAGGTTGTATCGGGCCTTCTTGGTTGGTTGCACCGCACACTTTCCCGCTCTCTATTCCAGCAGGGAGCAAGGTGAAATGTTGCCTCGCTTTGCTTGTATGAGTTTGATTGTCTGTCTTGGGAAAGAAAGAAATAAAATAAAAAGCAATGAAGCTCGAATGACAGCGAGCAAAAGCTATTTGATGGCACGGCGGAAACAACAGAGAGCGAGCAGAGCCAAATTCAAGCGTTTAAGTGAAGCTGAGTTTGACTGACAGCCGTCTTGATCGTCGTTTCTTTTTATTCGTTCTTGAGCCGTGATGAAAATATGTGGCTCGCTTAATCTACACTGTACATAACATGGACGTGAACATCTGTGCAGCTGCTGTGGGGGCAGCGCAGCGTCCTGCTCAAATCCTGCCTGCTGCTCAGAACGGAGGAAAATGATTTTTATTTCCACTCTGCTTTCCTCCCCTAATATATTCTATTTATTTCTACTTTTTCTGCTAACCTTCACTCAAAATCTACCCTCCTCTCTGTTTTTATTTGCAACCCTCCTCTTGCTTCGTGCTTCCTGCTTCCATCCCACTGACACGTCTCCATCACCACCCC